GTCCACACATCTTAAAGCCATTGAAACACTGTTGTGACGTAGCACTCTAAAACTAGACCTTCCGACTAATTCTTTGACACCAGAATGACAAAATTTGTGCCCACCAGCCACGCTAATCTGCAATTCATCGCTCTCATTTTCACGCCGCTGAAATTCAGACTTAATCCGGCAGCCCTTCCCCGTTTCCCTTCAGTTGGGAGAGAAAAAGAACTGACTTCCGACCCTCCTTGCAACAGATGTCAGTAACAACATCAAGCTCTTACTCTAAAATTAAAATATAACTTCCATTATTTCTATTAACCCCATTATTATTTTTTTTTCATTTAGAGGCTCCGGAAGACTTCCAACTTTTAGGAGTTTCCGAACGGGCAGGGTGCTCAATTCCCCAAGGCCAGAACTGGCCCTTCTAGCGACGCGATGCTGAATAGTGCCACTTAACTGACTTTGGGCGACGTTTCCCCAACCACCCAGCCACACCCCCAGTCCTAGATAGCCGGAGTAAGGAGCAGCTGTCTCTTTTTAAAAAAAAAGGACACGACAAGCTATTTTAGGGGCTCAGAGGGAGACGGGAACATCTGAGCTCTTGGAGGAGACCCCCAATCTCACACTCACGTGGAACTCGGTGGTGTTCAAGATGTGACGCCCGTCAGGACTCCAGGAGGAGGCCACCAGCCCGGCCGAGCCTTCGTCGATCTTGCAGTGCCAGTCCGGCTGTTCCAACGACCAGACCTAAGGAGAGGGAGGGACGGGAGTCAAGGCCATCCCCACCACGCGAATAATCCAGTTTTCCCCCTGCTTCTCCATCTCCGGCCAAGAGAGACCCAAAATCCTGACACGGCCAGCGAGATCATGAAGGACTGGAACTGGATCCCGCTACAGAAGTAAGGCTTTTTTCTCTCCCTCTTCTGCAGAAAACGATAGATAGATAGATAGATAGATAGATAGATAGATAGATAGATAGATAGATAGATAGATAGATAGATAGGTGGGTGGACAGGATGAGCAGATGGATGTGTGAAT